TCATGGTGCTTATTGGATGGAAGCTGTCATTATTACCATTATTTTCTCCCATCCACCTATGTAAATACTCCCAGGGATTCAAGGGATGTTCATCTATAATGATACGTTACTGCTAAGGGGTAGGATAGGGTTTATAGCGATTTGGGTTTCTTGTTTGGGTTTTTCTGTAATCCTTGAATTCTTTATAATCAGCACGTTTATTGTGTCAAATCCCCCAGTTATTACTGCAGGTTGCAAACAGTGCAGGCTCTGGAGTCAGACCTCCTAGGTTTAAACTCTAACTCTGTTTTACTAGCTGTGTTTCTTGGAGCAAATTACTTGCTCTCCTTGAGTCTTGCTTCCTCCTGTATAAAGTGGGGTGAAAATGGTGCCCGCTTCATTGAGTGGTTATGAGAATTAAGTTGGCAGTTCACCTGGAGCCACCTCAAGCATATTGCGTGGGGCAGTGGCCTGGGAACATTCTATGTCAAGGTAGAAAAAAGTTGAAAAGTTCTCAAGTACCTTCTCCCTCAAGGTCAAGGTTTGGGTCCTTCTGGCAATTGGGAAACACAAGTTATTTTTCCAAGGCCGTTGAAGCTCCGTGAGTGGTAGGACACTTAGAAAGTCTAGATTGGGTCCAGCCATTGTCTTCTTATTCCTCCACGTGATGGGCAGCCAGAAGTGAGGGGCATTATTCTCCGTGATCCAACACAAGTCAGCCCCATGGAATTTCTAATAATGCAAAATCTCAAGTAAATGATTATGGGAAAACTGCAGCCATTCACGCATAGATTTTATGAGTGTGTCTGTGGGAGGTCATTGGAGGATGGTATTCTTTTTTTGTTCATTTAAGACAGAAAAGTCATACTGTATTACCAAGGATAGAGTGCTGTGGCATTGTAGCTCACAGCAACCTCAAACTCCTGGGCTCAAGTAATCCTCCTGCCTCAGCATCCCAAGTAGCTGGGACTACAGGTGTCCTCCACAACGCCTGGCTCATTTCTTTTATTTTTAGTAGAAATGGGGTCTTGCTCTTACTTAGGCTGTTCTTGAATTCCTGATCTCAAGCTATCCACCCACCTTGGCCTCCCAGAGTGCTGGGATTACAGGCATGAGCCACCGCACCTGGCCATAAATGGCATACTTTTTATGTCTAAAACAATTATAAACATACGTTGATATTAATTTTAAAATAAGAAGAAAAGGCTCGGTGCCTGCAGCTCAAACGGCTAAGGTGCCAGCCACATACACCTGAGCTGGCGGGTTTGAATCCAGCCGGGCCTGCCAAACAACAATGATGGCTGCAACAAAAAATAGCAGGGCATTGTGGCAGCACCTGTAGTCCCTGCTACTTGGGAGGTGGAGGCAGAAGAATCGCTTGAGCCCAGAAGTTGGAGGTTGCTGTGAGCTGTGATGCCACAGCACTCTACCCAGGGTGAAAGCTTGAGGCTCTGTCTCAAAAAAAAAAAAA